TCGAAGTCTCACTCTGTTACCCAGGCTAGAGTGCAGTGGCATGCTCCCAGCCACCTCAGCCTCGACCTGCTGGGCTCAGGCAATCTTTCTGCCTCATCCTTCCAAGTAGTTGGAACTACAGGTGCAAGCCACCATGCCCTGCTAATTTTTTTATTTATTTATTGTAGAGACAAGCTCTTGACATGTTGCCTAGGCTGGTCTTGAACTCCTGGGCTCAGACATTCCTCTTGCCTCCACCTTTCAAAGTAAGACTACAGGTATGAATTTCTGCACCCAACCAATGTGCTTGAGTTGATTGTTGTGAACCTTGGAACAGAATTAGCCAGCACTGATGAATTTATTAAGTATAAATAGATATATAGACTAATGATCTACTTAGCAGTATTGCATGACCTCTTCATCTTTGGTGTAATAAAGACTCATCTGAAAGGCAAAAATGAAAGTTTGTTATGAAAGCTCTCATTTAATCTTTTATGATTTCTTAATGTAGTATATAATTCATTCACCGAAGAGCTTAGCAGAATAGGAAAAGAGGAAGTTAAAAGACTGAACACTCCAAATTTTGCCATTATTGTTGTAATTATTATTATTACTACCTACTTTTCAAGTTTCCTGTTGATCTTTTAGAAACAAAACTACACAGAAAGTAGTAGGACAATTAGTATATTGTCGTGTTATTTTCTCTTTAATTGTTCAAATAAAGTTTTACTCTATTGGTGAAACTTAAGTAATTGCTCATGGCTGATAATTGCCATCTGTCAGTTTCCTCAGAGCTTATAATGTGGGGTTCATACAACCTATACTTTACCTAAGAATTTCAATGCATTCACTGATGCTTTCCAAATGAAAAGGCTTCCCAAGAAAATTATCTGAACTGTGTTTTCTCTTACTTGAATAAACCTGTCGGTAAGTTTTTACCACGTATAACTATTATATGTTTCTGTGTTGAGTATTATGGGAGAATCAGACGTGATTCATTCCCTCAAAGAGCTTACCTTTCAGCTGAGGATTGACCATAATGAACAAATGAAGAGTTAGCAATCAGTCGGTGGATAGGGAATAAAGTACTAAATAAGATGTAGCATGGAATGTTAGAGGAGGAGGAAGGCAGTGTATGCGGGGGTAATTGCAGAAGGGAGCATTATGATTTGGGGTTTGAACTGAAAGACAAGATAAGCCAGATTTAGCCAGAGAAAGAGAGGGAGGGAGAGAAGGAAGGAGGCAGAGAGAGAGAGAGAGAGAGACAGGGAGGGAGGGAGCAAGGAAGGGAGGGAGTCGGGGAAGGGGAAAGAGAAACTGCCAGAAGAATGAAACAAGTCACTTCCAGGCGGTAATGGGAATAGAAGGGCTCCAGGAGCTCTGTTCCTGGCAGAGCAGAAGAGAAGAAGCATTGAGCAGTGTAAGAAAGTGAAGCACTGAGTAATATGAGAAAGTTAGCTAAGAAAGGTAAGGCTAGATCTTGGAGCATGTTGACTACCAGATAGAAGACTAAGATTTGTTCCAATGGACCAAAAAAAAGTTATTGCCAGTTTTTGTGCAAGAGAATATAAAGATAGAGTGGTTATTCAGGAAGTGGTCATCAGAACTGAAGGGAGCAAGAAGGATGTCCAGAACAGCAGGGGGACATTGTGGTCACAGAATGACATGATCATGAGGGCTAAACCAAGATGGTGGCAGTGGGATAGAGAAAAAGGTACGGACAGGAGAAATGTCTTAAAAGAAAAGTTAGCAGGATGTCTTTCCAGCCTGGATTTGAAGACTGTCCAAGAAATGTGTTATCAAACTTGATTCCAAGAGTTCTAACCTATGACTGGGTTGTCCAAAATATCTGGAAATCATTGTTAGAAACAGAAGAGGTAGGATGTACCATTGTTCTGACAAAAATTATTGAGTTTGGTGTCGGATCCACTTGACTTCAAGGACTTAGATGTAGAGTAAGTAATCAGAATTGCAGAAGTGCCACTCAGAGGGCAGGGCTGGAAATGTGGGGTTGGACTTTATCACCATTTAGTCAGTTCCTAATTCCATGCCCAGTTTTGTGGAATACCCATGTGTGTATTTCAGAATGAAAGCCAAGTAATAGTAACTCAGACACCGAATATTTCCTGTTGAACTGATGAGGAAATGATATATACAGCACTAATATCCTAATGAAAAGTTCTTAATAAAAAGATAAACAAGACCAAGTGAAAGGCAGAATAAACTTACTGAAGCCAAGTGTATTAAAAGGTATCGTTAAAAGTAGTGATAACACAAGTAGTGATGCTCATCAAACATCAACTCCCTTTCTCTTCCATTCCCATGATAAATGCAAGAAAGCAGGCTTGAATTCATCAGTATATCCAAATATTTTTCCAAGAAACTATGTTGTCCAGAGTCACTATATCACCCAAAATTCAAAATATTGCTGAGCCAAAATCAGGGGAAAAGATTTTTCCTCATACTTGTAATAATTTCCAAACATTTCTGTAATAAACATATTTTACTTTTATTGGTAAATAGTTATTGGTAACAACTATTTGGAAAAGAAAATGTTTTAAGAAAAAAAAAGTAGTGATAACAAAGCAATTTTCCAACTCTGTAGTTGAAGATGCCTCTGTACCTCAGACCATTTTAAGCAGTTAGTGTGGACCATATTTCATTAATTCTAAGATGCACCTTTTACGTATTTTAACATCTCTCAAATTGGTAATTCAACCAATGACTCTGGTTGTTGGCTGTGTAGCAATTATGACGTAGTTGTCATGGCCTTAATCAATTTATTTTGCTTTTTAAATTTTACATACTGCACAAAAGTTAAATGTGATACAATCGTGTCCAAATAAATCTAAAAAAACTCAGTAAATGTACAAGTTCTAATTGATACAGCAATAGCCCAGCTGCATTTTTTTCTTTCTTTGTTGCACATAAAATGTTGTGCTTTATAATGATGGTATCTTAGATTTGATGAAATATGGGATTAAAAGGTAGCTGATCACAGAAAACCTTTACCAGTGTGACATAGATGGCTAGAGTGAAGTGTTCTAAATTTGCATTCTTTCATTGACCTAAATTGGAGATGCCCCTTGGGTTGTTTTAATTTGGACTGGGACTATTAGAAGAAAGGTTTTTTGTTCAACAGTGTAAGTAACATTTGCTAGGAATAGAAATATCCTTGGAGGATCCATTCCTTTGATGGTGCAGGATCCAGAACATTCACAAAGGTTTAGGTCTTAGCAGAGTAGACATTTATATTTAATTCACACCCACGTGCCTTTTCTAATCTCAAACCATTGTGCAATCCAAGCAGTTCTGAGGAGGCTCACTGTTCGTGCAAAGTGAGAGTGGAACCAAAGGAAATTTGGTCATGTTTTGAGGATGGTAATAAAGTCCCTTAGTGGTATAAGATGTTGCTTCTTACAAAAATGAAGAACAGCGCTTTCTGCCACTTCTGCATTCTGACCTATTGGCCGGAGGTAGGTTGTCTTTGTATTCAGTGACTCGTCACAGGCAGAAGCACAGTCCTTTTTGTACTTATTTGCACAGCATCATGACTGTGGCAGGTCTGTGTCTTTTTGTAAGTCCATGCCCCAGAACTGAGAAGGAAATACAGCTAGAGTGTCAGGGCTGGGGACGCTACCCTTTACCACTAAGGGACACAGTCTTCAGGTAAGTGATTCCAAAGTCCTTCGCCGCCTGATGGTAACCCTGAGTCGGTCCATAGGTATGTTTTCATTTTGCTTGTTCATCATTCTCATTGGTTTCCTAGAGCATGCTTGTAGGTGTACAGCCAGATTGAGAGTAGAGAAACCCTCTGGCAAACAGGAAGAGATTAATTTTGAGATATGCTGTTAAGGGACTTCCCAGGAAACTTCAAAAGCACAGAAAGAAGCACTAGCTGCCAGTTCCAAAATGTGTAAAATGCCACTCAGCTCTTTAAAGGTATGATAAACTCAGAGTACACACACACACACACACACACACACACACACACACACAGGGTACCACATTTCTAATAAACAGAGAAACCGAGCTTTCTTAGCTACATCTGTGTATTAGCCAGAAAAAACCAAGGGGTGAGGGGTTTCAGAGACAAATGTAGGGTCTGCACATGGGAAGCATTTGAAACTGACCTCAATGCCTTTTCAATGCTGACTTTCTCAGCCTTCTCCTAAGGAGACACATTTTTTTCATGATAGCAGCCCCAGGCACAGATACATCATTAAAAATGAACATGTAGCAAATGATTTGTGTTTGGAAATAAGCAAAACATTTTCAGTGGTGACCATCCAGGTGTAGCTGAAAGGATAGTAGAGTTGGGAGCTCAAGGTCTAATAGAAACTTTCTTTGTGACACAAGGCAAGTCCTTTATACCTCCTTCTCTGTAAAACAGAACGGTTCAATAAAGTTATCTTTCTTCTTTGCTGTAATAGAGTATCTGTGGGAGGGGGGGAAAATGTCACTGTAAAGGCTTCTTCTAGCTCCCTGACTGCTGTCCTATTGTGCTGTTCGTGCCTAGACATCACATAGCTAGAAAGGCCTATCAGACCCCTCAGACCACCGCTGCCTCTATCATACACTCCGGCAAAAGGCCATGTTACTAACTTGAAAAAAAAAAATTTACTCTTACACTCGAAGTTGTTGCTTAGTAACATTTCTGATTCTGTGTTTCTCATGACAGCATGTGCAGAGATCATTAAAAATTAACCTTACAAAGCTGCTAAAGTGGGAGAATGGAGGAGAACTCGCCACCGGTTTTTGCACTTGCTTAGAAGCCACCTAATCTCAGGCCTATATGCTCAGTCCTGGGGAAGGCACAGTAGGTCTCTGGTTTCTATTAAACCGCCTGTAGCACACGGCTGATACTGATTTGTGTCTGGTGCAGCTGGAGAGTATCACCAAGACATAAAATACCTCAGCCCCGCAGAAAGGCCTGAAATTACAATCAGATGGGCCCCGTGGCATCCCTGTGACAGAAAACCCTAACCCATGTCGTGTCTTGTTTCTGCTCTCTCCTGCAGTTCCACCAGGTGAGAAGAGTGATGACCATCCTTTTCCTTACTATGGTTATTTCATACTTCGGTTGCATGAAGGCTGCTCCCATGAAGGAAGCGAACGTCCGAGGACAAGGCGGCTTGGCCTACCCAGGTGTGCGGACCCATGGGACTCTGGAGAGCATGAATGGGCCCAAGGCAGGCTCGAGAGGCCTGACGGCATTGGCTGACACCTTTGAACACGTGCTAGAGGAGCTGCTGGATGAGGACCAGAAGGTTCGGTCCCACGAAGAGAACAACAAAGATGCGGACTTGTACACGTCCAGGGTGATGCTCAGTAGTCAAGTGCCTTTGGAGCCTCCTCTTCTCTTTCTGCTGGAGGAATACAAAAATTACCTGGATGCTGCAAACATGTCCATGAGGGTCCGGCGCCACTCCGACCCTGCCCGCCGCGGCGAGCTGAGCGTGTGTGACAGTATTAGCGAGTGGGTGACAGCGGCAGACAAAAAGACTGCCGTGGACATGTCGGGTGGGACGGTTACGGTCCTTGAGAAAGTCCCTGTATCGAAAGGCCAACTGAAGCAATACTTCTACGAGACCAAGTGCAATCCTATGGGTTACACGAAAGAAGGCTGCAGGGGAATAGACAAGAGACATTGGAACTCCCAGTGCCGAACTACCCAGTCGTACGTGCGGGCCCTCACCATGGATAGCAAAAAGAGAATCGGCTGGCGATTCATCAGGATAGACACTTCCTGTGTGTGTACATTGACCATTAAGAGGGGAAGATAGTGGATTTATGCTGTATAGAGTATATTGAGACAAAAATTATCTATTTGTATATATACATAACAGGGTAAATTATTCAGTTAAGAAGAAATAATTTTATGAACTGCATGTATAAATGAAGTTTATACAGTCCAGTGGTTCTACAATCTATTTATTGGACATGTCCATGACCAGGAGGGAAACAGTCATTTGCGCACAACTTTAAAAAGTCTGCTATTACATTCCTCGATAATGTTGTGGTTTGTGGCCGTTGCCAAGAATTGAAAACATAAAAAGTTGAAAAAAATAATAATAAATTGCATGCTGCTTTAATTGTGAATTGATAATAAACTGTCCTCTTTCAGAAAACAGACACACACACACACACACACACACACACACACACACACCACACACAAAACAAAAATTTGAACCAAAACATTCCGTTTACATTTCAGACAGTAAGTATCTTTGTTCTTGTTAGTACTATATCTGTTTTACTGCTTTTAACTTCTGATAGCGTTGGAATTAAAACAATGTCAAGGTGCTGTTGTCATTGCTTTACTGGCTTAGGGGATGGGGGATGGGAGGGATATATTTTTGTTTGTTTTGTGTTTTTTTGTTGTTGTTGTTTGTTTTGTTTTTTAGTGCCCACAGGGAGTAGGGATGGGGAAAGAATTCCTTCAATATATATATTCTGGTTGGAAAAAGATACATTTGTATGTTGTAAAGATGTTTGCAATATCAATCAGATGACTGGAAAGTGAATAAAAATTAAGGCAACTGAACAAAAAACACCCCCACTCCACATCCTGTGATGGCATCTCCCAGGCCCCCGCCCATGCTTTGGGCGTCGGTCAGGGTAAGCTTCTCTTGTTGGAAAGACCTACATTTGCTGAGAGCACGTTCTTTCCCCCCCTCCCTCTCTGGTCCCCTCTTTGTTTTGTTTTATTTTAAAGAAGAAAACTCAGTTGCGCGCTCTGAAATCTTTCACCAGCGCTATGAACAAGCGATCTAATTGTGTCTCATCACGGCACTCATGTGAGCATGGAGAACAGTGATTTTCTTTTTTCTAGAAGAGAAAAAGAACAACAAATAGCTCCCAAATACAGATTATTTTTTTATAAGGGGTAAACATGTGGGGAAATCATGATACTGCTTAAAAAAAAATCATGGTAAGACTTAAAAATGTCTTGCAAGCAAAAGGTAGACTTCTGTATGAACCCAGAAACACCTAGATCAGAGCAGGAATTCACATTGCCAGTGACATGAGACTGAACAGCTGTGTGGAGGCTTTGTGCAGCCGACACAGCATCGACTGGCAGTGCAGGCGGAATTTCTGAGTGGCCATCCCAAGGTCTAGGTGGAGGTGGGGAATGGTATTTGAGACATTCCAAAAAAAAAAGGCCTCTGAAGGACTCTTCAGAGGTGGCTCTGGAATGATGTGTCAAGCTGCTTGGACCTCGTGCTTTAAGTGCCTACATTATCTAACTGTGCTCAAGAGGTTCTCAACTGGAGGACCCCACACAAGCCGACTTATGCCCACCATCCCACCTCTGGAACACTTTGCATAAAGTTGGATTAGCCTGGAGCAGGTTGGGAGCCAAATGGGGCATTTGTGATCATGAGATTGATGCAATGGGAGAGAAGATGTTTGCTACGTGAACACTTGTTGCTTTGAAACTAGACTTGAGGAAACCAGGGTTTTATCTTTTGAGAACTTTTGGTAAGGGGAAAGGGAACAGGAAAAGGCCCCAAAACTCAGGCCGAATGACCCAGGGGACCAATAGAAAATCTTGTCCAGAGATAAGACTTGGGGGAAGGTGTCTGGACATCCAGAACACTGAGGCTTGAAGGTGCCTTGCTCAATGGAAGAGGCCAGCACAGAGCTGACAAAATTTTGCTCCCCACTGAAGGCCACAGCAACCTTCTGCCCATCCTGTCTGTTCATGGTGAGGGTCCCTGCCTCACCTCTGCCATTCTGGGTTAGGAGAAGTCAAGTCGGAAGCCTGGAATAGTAGTTCTTGGAAAAGCAAACCCCAGGGAAAACTAAAACCAAGGCCATTCACCCACTCAACCCATTTCAAACGCGAAAATGTTAGTGATCACCACTTGGACCAAGTGTCCTTGAGTATCAGAAAGCCACAAGCAGTTGCAGCCTCTTAGTAGAGCAAGGGATATGCCAAAGAGGATGTCCACCATGTCGCAGGAATGAAGATACCATCAGCAAAGAATCTCTATTTGTTCGGTCTTTCACATAGAGCTAGCCCGGCTTTTACACACCGTCTGAATACCTGTCTTTAAAAGAAGGATGACTTTGTGTAGTATAGGTTTGTTTTGTGCCGTTTGAAAATATTATCTTTGTAATTATTTTTAACATGTAAGGAATGCTTGGGATACCTGCTGTATTGTTAACTTTTTGCAGCTTCCTTTCGTGGGACGAAATTAAAAAACCAAAAAAAAGTCCCCACCACAATCTCAAAGGTTTGCGGGAGCCAGATCTGTTAAGTGGTTTCATAAGCGATAATTCAGCAATTGTGTGGTCAAGGGGGTCTCTCTTACCTGATAAGCTACATCATGGTCACACGCTTGGTGGATTATGTTGACCTAAGATTTATTTTGTTAAAATCTCCCTCTGTTGCTGTTCGTTCTTGTTCTGTTCCGTTTTGTTTTTTAAAGTCTTGCTGTGGTCTCTTTGTGGCAGAAGTGTTTCATGCATGGCAGCAGGCCTGTTGCTTTTTATGGTGATTCCCATTGAAAATGTAAGTAAATGTCTGTGGCCTTGTTCTCTCTATGGTAAAGATATTATTCACCATGTAAAACAAAAAACAATATTTATTGTATTTTAGTATATTTATATAATTATGTTATTGAAAAAAATTGGCATTAAAACTTAACCGCATCAGAAGCCTATTGTAAATACAAGTTCTATTTAAGTGTACTAATTAACATATAATATATGTTTTAAATATAGAATTTTTAATGTTTTTAAATATATTTTCAAAGTACATAAAATCTGGGGGTTCTGGGTTTTTTTCTCTTCACTGTAAAACAAACATGAAAACGTGTTTTATTATAAATACGTGTGTTCCTTCCTTTAAGACTAACCTGACTAGTTTCAGCAGTTGAACAGCCTTCAGAAAGGATACTTGTTTCAAAGCACGGGAGGCCAGTCCTGTAGTCTGTGAGCTTTGAGAAGCTCTAGGATTGGGACTGTCTTCCTTGGTGGAAGATGGGAGTGTTGTTTTCTAGGACACTTTAAAGTTTTCCCCTTTGAAGTGATATATTTCATCAAATACCAAACCATGTATCCTAGCAACATCAGGACCCACAAATCATGGCTGGCTGGCTCAATGTGATTATAAAATAACTGTTAAAAAATCAAAGTAGGTTTACTTAGGGATAATGAGAATAAATTGGCCCAAATTTAGAAGTCAACTACTGAAAAAAATATAGAAATTCAGTATCTGGAGACAGGTCACGTACCTTGGGTTTGGAAACGGTGCCATTTGCAGTATGTATTTGTATCCATTGCGCTGATTTAATTTTTGTATGTGGAGCACACAGATTTTGTATCATAGTACCCACGATCTAACAGATTGCTAGGATTTCTAAAAGGATTTGCCTCAGCGATGGCTGCCAAGCCGCTGGGTAATTTAGTTTAAGTGTTTAAAGTTATCACTAAATCTTGGGGAAATAAATGGAAGGATTTTAAATTAGAGAAAGGGCCATTAAGGAAAAAAAGCATCTGTTCAGACTCTCCAACTGAACACTGACAACCCCTCCCAGAACGTGGTGAACTATATCTGTGCAATGTATCATTTCTATTTCTAAACATACGCACATGGTTTCCTCTCATATTGTCTTATAAATAAGGATCAGGAAAGTCATAACAAGCATTGACTTGTGTTGTGTATAAGGAAGACCAGATCGAACGAGATAAATTACTCTATTCTAATCTGTCCGGTGAACTTGCAAAGTATTCTAAACCCTGAGACAGGCCTGTGACTGCTGGTCATGACAGCCCAGCCATGGACTTAGAACTTTAACAAACTTCAGGCTTAACCAATTTTCCTAGTTGAGGAAGACTAAGATATTTTTGAAATGGTTGAGTAAAAAGAATTGAAAATTAAATATGACATCCAAATTACTTGAAGTTAAAGGAGTTTGGTAAACATGACCAAAAGTTCTCATTAGAAGATGAGGTCAGAGAAGCAAGCAATAAAAAAATGGAGGCCTCTCCTAAGTGAACCCACTTGGAGTTAATAGGAATAACCAATGTGTACTGTATTCGTCAGGTAGACAGTTGAACCTGTTTAATTATTTGGGTGCCTGGAAACAATTCAGATCATTGCTTTGATCTGTTGGTCTTCACCATATTGGTCAGCCTCTGTGGTCATCAGCTATGTCTATGAAGTCTTTCTTTTTGCTGCACCACTTCGATGAACATGATGGTTCTGAACTAAGTCTTAGACTAGATCAGTGATACATCGTTCCTCATTCACTTAAGGGGTTACTAGACTCTGGAGAAAATGTCAAACGCTTTTGAATGTAGGCCTTGCCTCAGTTCAGTCAGCACCCCCTGGCAAAGTTAGGACTTAAGCTTAATATAAAACACACAGGTCTCCGTCATGTTCCAACCTCAAGCCTGTTCTATAAGTCAATTAAAGTGGAAATGGCTGCATATGTGGGTCAACCGTTGTTTAGGAAAGATTGTTAGTAATTGGTATAAGAAACAAAGAATGTTTATAAATATAGGCAGAGGACATATTTAGCTTGGAAAAAGCCATTCATGAATTTGATCCAACCTCAAAGTGCTGATCAGCAAAATTACTGTTCGATGGGACCTGGACCATTCTTTCAGCTGTGGGTTGTTTTAGCTGTTGTGTTAAAGGTTGGTTGGTTTGGGGACAAGGTGTAGAGTGGTTGGTAAAAAACATCTTTTTTGTTGGTTACTTGGAACTAACCGGTGGTTGGTAAACTCGCCCACCTAAGAGTCAAACCCAGTGACTTGGGGGGGTGCAGCCCCTTCAAACCAACCAGCATTTTTGGTCATTCCTGCTAATAAACACCCTGTCCCCACCTGTAACCCCAGTCTTTTGAGTATCTTCATCGATTCTCTCAATTCTGGCCACTATACTAATTCTCCATAGAAAAATAAAATGCAGCCTCCTTGCTTTTTGAGTCATGATTAGACATAGTCAATTACCTGAAAAAGGTTTAAATGTCAACAGAAAAAAACTGTGATCTTATACATTGTATGTCTTGTGAAGAAAACCCATTTATGTGGTACTCTGTGGGACCTCCACAGGTCTTTACTTCACCGCCTCTAATGATTTG